GTGTGTGTGTGTGTGTGTGTGTGTGTGTGTGTGTGTGTGTGTGTGTGTGTGTATCATGATGAGCCGCACCTCACATCTGCTTCAGGCTTGGTAAGAAACAACACCATTTTTGTCAACTACCAGTTGCAGGAGTCAGGTAGAGTTTAATGCCCTCATCTCCTTTAATTTTGCAAATTAATGGCCTATGGTTCCAGGAGTGAGATTTTAAGATTATTCTTGCCACCAATAAAACTCATTATCAACCTCAGGCAGTTGCCTTGGATTCTTTTTTACTTTGCTTGTCTGAAGATGGTCACAAAAGGTGCAACCGTCATAAAAATGAGTCAGTTGCCAAGCATCCAAATTTTGATCATGTGATCATTGGGGATGCTGCAGCGGTGGTAAGTTGTCATTAAAATGAGGACCCAGATTGTTTAGAAATTTATGTAAAGCACTGTAAAGTGGTGTATAATATAAATCTAAGTGCTAAATGTTATTGCTACCAGTATATCCTAAGAAACCCGGAATATCCTAAGAAATAAGTTCTCAGACAGTCCTTTGGACATCAAGTGTGGACTGATGGAATTAAAGCACTGAAAGATAAATTAAAATGAAACATTTTGCAGGTTGATCTATCCTTTCTCCGCTAGCAGGAGCAGGAGGGAAATCCCACACCCCTTCCATTTTGTTTGACATCCCCTCAAGAGCCCTGTGAAGTATTTTGAAAGTTGTGGCTAGAAATCAGTAACAACATGGTTTTGTAGGGTGGCAGATCGCCTCCTGCTGCCCACTGTGAGTTAATGTTGCCTTCTGCAAAATTTAAACGAAGTTTATAAGGAAAACATAAAGTCAGCGTGGCATGTAAATCAGATTGGCAACACCTATAATGGAAAAGAAAAACATTTGAAGGGAATCTTGAAGCATTCAAGAAGAGACTTATTGGATTGCCAATTTGTCAGAAATGGTGCATGGTCTCCTGCTTGCGGGGAGGGAGGTGGGGTTGGACTAGATGACCTACAAGGTCCCTTCCAACTCAGTTATGTTATGCTATATTGGACACGGAAGCTGTCAGTGGGGTTCCCTCTCATTGTGAAACACGAGGGAGGGAGGGACGCAGCTCCCGCCGCCCTCTTTGTCCTGGCTCCGCCCCGCGCGTCGGCGCACGCGCAGAGCGCTCCGCCCTCCTGAGAGCGGGGGGGGGGGGAGGAGGTGGCCGGCCGGAGCGCGCGTCGCTCGCGAGAGGGGAGGCGTGCGCGCCGCCGCGGGCGTCGGGGGCGAGCCAGCGCGGAGCCGGCCGAGTCGTCGCGGCCCGTCTTCGCTTCTTCTCCGTCTCCGGCCGAGCCCGCGTGTTGAGAAGGGCAAGGAAGGGACGCCGACAGACGGGAGGTGGGTCCTGGGGGGGAAAAAGGGAGAGGAGCGGGGTGGGGGCCGGGATCTCTTGTCAGGTAGCCGTGTGAACGTGCGTGCACGCATTGGCGCGTGTATGCGTGTTAATGTCTGTGTCCCACCTCCCTCTGTGATCTCCATGTGCCTCAAGGGCGGACAGATGTCTCAGTCTGGACTTTTGTGCCGACACGTGTCTGTGCACGCGTGTGTGGATGAGCGTTTGTAATAACCCAGGTGTGCCTGTGGGTTTGACGCTGCCATTTAACAGGTCAGGGATCCCTCGGACACCAAAGAAGGACCTGCCTCTGTCTAAGCCGCCACCCTCACACATGCATCGCCGCCTTCTTGGGGAGCCCTTAATGCAAAGCACCCCAATGAGTGGCAGGGGTCCTACAGATCCCCACAACCCCACCCCGGTTTTGCAGGGGTTGCTATCCAGGGCATCCGTCTGAATGAGCCAGATCCTGTTTTACAGCGCAGACCCCTTCAGTCTGCAACGGCGATAATAATCAAAGATCTTGATCCATTCCAGCCTGGCTTCCAATTGGAGTTTTTGTCCCCAAAGTCTTCTGATTGTTTTCAGCCACGGATATAAAACAGATGGATGGACCCAGGTAGCAAGTGGCCCTTCGACTCCTCTTTGTTACCTTGGCTTTGCAATCACCTTTGTTACCTTTGTTCCTTGGCTCTGGAATTCTCTCTAGGTTGGACCATGGAGTCAGGGAAGGGCCGTGGCTTGGCTCATGTTTGAGAGAACAGAGTTTAAAAAGCGACGGGTTGTGTAGAAGGGAACCGTTTGTAATGTGGGTCCTTCGACGCTCCCCATATTTTTTGTAGCCACATGAAGCTCTGCTGGACGAAGGCTGTTGGCAGGTTGGCTTGAAATGTGATGAATGCAGTGGTGAGACATAGCTCCACCCTTCTTGGGTTACCTGGGGTCCAGAAAGAGATGGTGAGAATCTGAAACGGAACAGATCTATGCAGGCAGGCTTATTAGCCTCTGTGCTCACTCACACAGTAGCCAATACATATGCAAATTCATGAAAGGAAATGTTTGCAGTGCCTACAGGTAGACCTTGGCTTACAACAGTTCGTTTGCTGACTGTTCGAAATTACAACGGCACTGAAAATAATGACTTATAACCATCTTATAGCAGCACGCTGAAAAGCAGAGACATCCCCCTGCCAATAAAAGTGCGTATAGTCAAGGCTATGGTGTTCCCAGTTGCAATGGGAACAAAGGGGGCGTGCATAAGCGCACCAACGTGCCTACCGTCCCTTTCCTATTGTTTCTCTTATTCTTTTATCTTTCTTATATGTACCCATTTCATGTATTCACAACTATGTATACACTTATATTTATTATCTTGTAAACAATTGGCAAATCAAATAAATAAATAAAAATAAAATAAATAAATAAATAAATGTATGGCTGTGAAAGTTGGACCGTAAGGAAGGCTGAGCGCCAAGGAATGGAGGCCTGGAGAAGACTCCTTGGACTGCAAGGAGATCCAACCGGTCAGGTCAGTCGTAGAGGAGATCAGCCCTGACTGCTCTTTAGAAGGCCAGATCCTAAAGATGAAACTCAGAGACTTTGACCACCTCATGAGAAGGAAGGACTCGCTGGAGAAGAGCCTCATGCTGGGAATGATTGAGGGTAATAGAAGAAGAAGGGGAATTAATTTTGTTTAATTAATTAATTCCCTTAACAAACGTGGTGAGAAAAGTCATGAAATGAGGCAAAACTCACTAAGCTATTTAAAATTTTGGGCTCAGTTGTGGTCGAACGTTTAGGGCTATCTCTATTGCATACGGGCAAGATTACTATTTAAAAGAATATAGAAAGGCAGTCAAGTAACTACCTTTAGGTTAAATAGGAAACTAGCAAATCAAACATGCATTTTGTGAATGATCCATTCCCCCCCCCCCGCCCCCCTTCTCTTGTAGACGCGATGGATGAAACAAGATGCTGAAGAGATCCGCCAGCTCTTTGGGAGCTTTGCCCAGGGGCACTGGAGTGTGAAAGGAGCACAACATGAAAATGCTTCCCGGTGTCGGGGTGTTTGGGACCGGGAGCTCGGCCCGTGTGCTGGTCCCTCTGCTGAGAGCAAAAGGCTTCTCCATTGAAGCTCTGTGGGGGAAGACTGAAGAGGAAGCCAAACAGCTAGCTGAGGAAATGAACATTTCCTTCTACACAAGTCGAACAGATGATGTTTTACTGCACCAGGATGTAGATCTGGTTTGCATCAACATTCCCCCACCACTCACGCGACAAATAGCTGTGAAGGCTCTAGGTATGGTGTTTTTTCCCATAGCCAGTTTTGGGCATTGTATAAGATTTCAGTTTTCTCTTGGGTAGAAGCCAACTGGAAGACGGTCACGGTTGTTGAGTAATTAAGAGCAGAAAATTGAACATTTCATCCTGGAACAAATTGTATCAGGGAACTGGGAATTCTGTTGTTAAAAAAATCTCATACCTGGTGAATTTTCAGTTGGTAAAGTAAAGGCCTGGTGTTTGTTTCTAACTACAAACTTGGAGGGCTATTGTTACTCCAAAAAGAACAGACCCCATGAATTTCCCATAGGAAAAATGGTCATACCACTGCATGCCTTGCAAATAAATAGATCATGGGGAACATACAGAAAAAAAATTATGCATAGAACATTTCCTGCAGAGGCTCGGATCCACATGGTGAGCTTGAAAATGATTAGGCTTTAAGGCAATTGCTTGTGCCCAGAAATATGTTTTATTTCAGGCTTTTGTGTTTGCAGGTACAATTTTCTGATAAACATATTTGCTTTTCCGAGAGTGAATTTGCATAGCAGATGCCACATATTAAACCAAAAATACCTTGGGAACAGAGGTCTTCTTTTCATTTTTGACAGCCAGCCAGTATTAATGCTATCCTGCTTTGTTTAAACCCAAATTACAGGTAGTCCTTGTTTAGCAACCACAACTGAAATTGACAACTTGATCATTGAGCAAAGGGTGGCTCAATGAAACTCTGGCTGTGTTTACAATCTTACTTCAGCTTTACAGACCTGTGAAAGTTGTAAATGTGAGTCTTGGTTGCATAGTTACTTTCTCATCACCATTATAACTGCCCACAGAAAGGACAACCTGTATTTCTTCATGGATTTATTTTGATTTATACAAGATAAAACTTTTCTATGTTTCAGTAACAATATTGTTGCACGGTCTTCTCCTGGGCAACACAGCAAAAAAATAGTTATGTTGATTGTTGAAGGAATATTCAGGACGATTTGCACAATCTTTTCCTAAGGAATATAGCAAAAAATAGTTATGTTTACTTTTGAAAGAGTATTCAGGGCAATTTGCTTGCCTGGGTGCATACAGGCAAAATTATATATTTCAGGAGCGTTATAAGCTGTTTTTAATTCTTGGCTTGACTTGGCTTTCGCTTTCTTCCGCGTGCAGTTCTCTGAATACAGACTTGTACTTCTTCCTACTCAAGATTAATTCAGCATTCCACCCTTGCTGCGTCTGGCAATATTTTCTGCCCAATGCCTGGGAGAACAGCCAGGTCTTCAAAGTCTTTCAGGCTGCCTCTGGGTTGCCTAAAACAGTGCAGCTCGGTAGCTGTTTCTCAGGGTATTTTTCACCAGCCTCATCCCTGCAAATTACAAGCGTTATTGTGGCTTGTTGGCCTATCCAGCACTATAAGAAAGAAGATTACTTAGTCATTTATATTCCTCTTAAATAAAACTGAAATAATGTCCCAGGCTTTCAGAACATAAATGCTTTTTTTTTTTTTTTGCAGAAGTTAAAAAAGTGGCATTTTCTGTATATGACTGAATTGACTGTATATGTTCTGAGAAGTTCTAAGGGATAAAGTTATAAATAAACCAGCATGTTTCTGTAAATTTGCTAAGCACTGGAAATCTACAAAGACTACAACAACATCTTTAAACTTTAAATGATAGAATGAACAACTTCAGATGTTCCGGAAAAAAATAGAATTTTTAGTCACTGCATTTCTTGTTATCAGTCCATCTCGCTGCTAGAACATGTATTACAAAAACAAGCAGACAAGTTCATTTTTCATGGATGAATTGCTAAAAATAACTTAACATTGCTTCCTGCTGAATTAACACAACCAGTTTAGGAGCATCTTAAGTACTAAAAAGATGTCAGGAGGAATATATAGAAAAAATATAAATGAAATGTGAGCACCTGTTACGCTGCGCCTTATCCTCCAATCTAATGGGAAACATGACAAATAGTATAGAGGCCTGATAATCCTTGCAGGCAGTAAAAAAAATGTAGATCATAGCAGAATGTAAAATAAAAACAAAGTAGTTGGACATTGGCTAGTTACAGCTGCCCTGCTTTCAAAGGCTTCGTTTTTCTCATTGTTTGGGTGTTGAATAAAAAGTCTCCAAATTAACCATTGGATAAACAATAGAAATAAGGAATTAAATAAATAAGGAATGTATGAAAGAGACATATACATAAGAACAAATAGGAGTATAAAATATGCACGGGAATAACAATTGAAATGTAAGCGCTGTCAAAATGGATTGTAATATACATAACACTTTCATTTTAAATATTTGTATTGCATTTTGTATTTTAATGTTTTAATTTTTCAATAAAGGTTTGTAAAAAATTTTTTTTAAAAAGTCTCCGAATTAAAATGCCGCCCTTTGTTTGCAGGAATTGGAAAGAACGTAATCTGTGAGAAAGCCGCTACCTCTCTTGATGCTTTTAGGATGGTCACGGCTGCTAGGTATTACCCCAAGCTCATGAGCATCGTGGGCAATGCCCTGCGCTTTCTACCCGCCTTTGTCAGAATGAAACAGTTACTCGACGAGCACTACGTCGGCAGCATCCTGGTCTGTGATGTGCGTGTGTACTGGGGGAGCCTCCTCAGCCAGAAATACAACTGGATTTGCGATGAGCTGATGGGTGGGGGCGGCCTTCACACGATGGGCACCTACATCATAGACTTGCTGACCCATCTCACAAGCCAGAAGGCCGAGAAGGTCCACGGGCTGCTGAAAACCTTCGTCAAGCAGAACTCGGCCATCAGCGGCATCCGTCACGTCACCAGTGACGACTTCTGCTTCTTCCAGATGCTGATGACCGGCGGCATCTGCAGCACCGTGACTCTGAACTTCAACATGCCCGGGTCCTTCGTTCACGAGGTCATGATCGTAGGCTCCGCGGGCCGTCTTGTCGCTCGCGGGATGGACTTGTACGGCCAGAAGAACGCAGCGGCCCAGGAGGAGCTGCTGTTTAAAGACTCCTTGAATGTCCACGCGGAGCTTTCCGAGAAGGAATTTGAAGACATCCCTCTTCTGTACCTCAAAGGGATGGTCTATCTGGTGCAAGCTCTCCGCCTTTCCTTCCAGGATCAGGAAGACCAGCGGACCTGGGATCCCAAACCGGTGGCCATGGCAGCTTCCTTTGAAGACGGACTCTACATGCAAAGTGTCGTAGATGCCATTAAAAGGTCCAGCAGGTCTGGGGAATGGGAAACAGTGGAGGAGATGGTGGAAGAGCCTGATGCTAATCAGAACCTCTGTGAGGCGCTGCAGAGAAATAACTTATAATGCAGATATTCCTGCAAAACAGAACAATTGGAAACAGAAGTGGGGTGGGGTGGAATGGAAGCAGAGGAAAGGAAGAAGGGTATGTGTGTGTGAAGGGTTTTTAATCTGGGAGAATTTTAAATGTGGCAGGTGTACGTGTCTTTGGTTACTTAAATTTAATAATTTGTGTATTGTTACGAAAACTTGAATTGCCAGTTGCACTCAGCGGACAAGGGCTCTGACCCCCCCCCCATCCCCAAACAAGAACTTTTGGGGTGCAAAACTCTCTTCTCCGCCCAGCTCACGTATTAATGCAAGTTGAACATAATTGGCATGTAGTGCTAGAGAACGCCGATCGTTGTTTTTAAAATAGGAATTGGAAGTTATTTTTTTTTACAGCTCTTTTGAAATGGGAAACAGCTTCCCCAAAGGAATATAAGGAGTCAGATCTTTAGAGCTGGTTTTCAAAGAGGATTAGAAGAATCAGAAACAGGTGTCTCATTGCAGATACACAATATTTTGCTACAATTCAGGGACAAACCGGTAAAGATCATGTTCATTCCTTGGGTTTCCCCAACTTGGGTTTCAGTCTTTCAGTACTGAAGCATGGATCTGAGAAAGTTTGCATTGAATTATCCCAGTTTAGAACTCTATAGCTAGATGCTCAAGACTCTTTCCGGCTGTTTTTCAGTCTATCCGTGAAAGTAGAAATGAGGAAAAGATGATTGGAGCCCAAAGCCAAAAACAAGTGAAATGGGGAGTATATGTATGAGGATAACAAAAGAGACAGAGAGGATTTAGAATTAAATTCCTATATTCCTTCCCTTGAAAAAAGAACACATACACACCAAATCCTGCTTTTTGCATGAACAGGGTGAACTTGGAAGTGACTATCGAATTTGCATCATCTTCTTGAATGCCCTTGCTTTATCTGATCTGACAAAACACCCGATGGAATGCAGTTGCTGTTTGTGCATCTCAATGCTTCGTACCCTTGCTGGTACGAGGGTTGTGCAAGGCCCAATATTCTTTTCTGCCTTTTTTCCATGCTGCCCAATCCCACCAAGGTGGTTTCTTGGCCAAGCAAAAAAAAAAAACCCATGTGCTTTGATGGTGAGAATTTTCGGCTGTTTAATGAAGCAAGCATTAAGGCTGTCTAAAGGAAGGGAAGCTGACCTTGAAAATATATCCGAGTTACTCTTTTAACTATAATCTGGTAGGGCTTGGCATTTTTTGGAGACTATCCAAGATAAACAGTTTAGTGAATTGAAGCAAACTCTGGTTCCTTGGCCTTTCTCCCATTTTTTTTTTTATGCTGTAGGATCTCTGGAGGAGATTTTATCACCAGGACTCAACCTTAACTTTTTAAAACAACCCTTAACTTTTTAATGAAGGTCGTTTACTTGAATGTTATTTTATTTTTCTTACATTGTTTTCCTACTGGGTTTTAATCCTGTAAATTAAGATAAAGCATTAACAAGCGTGCCTCCGTTGTGTTCTTTTAAGTGATAGTCTATAATGGAAACTAAGAACAGATAACAATCAGTGACCAGATCAGCTGCTCTGCTTCCCCAGGGGGGGAAAAATCTTAATTATTTTCTTATCTTTGGTGACTTTGAAGCTATTTTTAGCTACCACGGCTAATTCTTATGATTAGCGGCTAAGTCTTATGATTAGCGTTTCAGTTGGACTGAGGAGGTCCAGGATTTATACAGCTTCTCGAGTAAACAAAAGGCAAGATCTTGAATGATGATTCCCCCACCACCACCAATTTCTCTTCCCAGTACAGGTAGTCCTCAACTTACAACAATTCATTTAGTGACCAAAGTTAACAGCAGCACTGAAAAAAGTGACTTTCGACTGTTTTTCACACTACCATTGTAACATCTCCATGGTCACAATCCAATTTTAGATCCTTGGCAATTGACTCATATTTATGACAGTGTGTTAAACGTGAACCACACAGGCACATAAGATTTGATTCCAGGAATTCAAAGATCTGGCTTCTGAATTTTTTAAAGTGTATCCTCTTTATATACTTTCACATTAGGAGCAGTAGGAATTTTTTTTTTCCAAATACAACCTGATAAATAATACATCAAAATAATACTTCAAAATTTATTGCTTGCAAATGTGCAAAATAAGTACAGCTCCAGGTGGTAACTTCTGTTTATATTTTGCCTTACTCAAAAGAACTGATTTTCCGAAGTCATAAATTCCCCTCTTCCTTTTAAGGCAGAAAATCTGATTAAATAAGAACACTCGATGGCTTTGTCCTTCAGCAATAAGGAATCTAGCAAAATGCTGATGATAGAATTCTCTCTAAGAAATTCAAGATTCCTCAGATGTCTTTAGGGAACCTGTATTTGCCTTGATAGATTCCCCCCCCCCCCCCCAAAAAAAAAGTACAATCCAGTGATGGGAAAGTGGACAAAATAATTTAATTTGAAGTTTTCTTTGAGTAAATACATTTTATTGTCAAAGGACAATGTAGTCCACCACCCCATCTTTTAAGTCTTGTTTCCTTGTTTATTTTCAGTGAATTAGAATATCCTTTTCTTCCTTAATTCCCTCTGTAAGTTCACATTAGGATTCAAGGCTAAAAATATCATTTCTGTTCTCTGGGATTTCTTGTTCAACACATGGCCCTTGTGACATACATTTTGTATGGGAATCTCTTTAACTTTGTAAAGAGTAGTAGAGTATAAATGGTATGCACTTGAACCTGCAAAAGATACATAACAACATCCATGCCATCTATTGATGTTCTGGAAATGTTAGCCAAATGTTTTGGAAGACCCCAAAGCTAGGATGGATGGACAAAGTCCTTCCCAGCTGCTATTAAAAATGTATAGAAATTAAGGTTGTGTCATCCATAAGAAGCAGGTACAAATTATTTACTATCCTTGCTTGGACCAACTAACTCAAAAGAGAGATTGCTATGGGAATAAAATGTGGGAGAAACCCATGTACATTTTGGTCATTGTGTAATTACTCAGAAATGTCCTAAGGGCTTGAGGAGGATCGAGATGATGATGAACAGCCTTTTGTGTATTTTTTTTATACTCACTTTGGCACTAATTTACAGTATTTAGACAGGAGCAATTCCACTCCTGTTTAGACTGCCTCCATTTTTTCCTCTTATTTTACAGCAAGGAACAAGACAAATACTTACACTTTTTGACCCTGACTATAATGAACAAAACTTAAAAGAATTTGATGCTCCTCAGATGACCTTCAAGGAGCAAACTCCAGTTTCTGGAAGAAAAGCACCGTTGAGCAACGAGCTTGGCCTCCTATCAGATACGATTATTTGTTCTGCGGGGACAGGGGTGGGACTAGGTGAGCTGCACAGACGCTGAGCATCTTATCAATGTCCACTTGAGTAGACTTATCCACCTCTGTTTTCACCGCAGCTCCAGAAGTGGCACTCGGTAGACTCCTCAGTTCCCTGCCTTTCTCTTCTGCAACTGCTACAAAAAAACAGAGGATCAGTATGGAGTAACTTCTGACCTAGGTAGATAAGCAAAGGCAATGGTCGCAAACAGAGTGGCTTTTTGAGTTCCGTAGCATAGATATTTCAAACTGCATCATAACTTCAGACTTTTTGAAAAAGGAAAGACATAGATTTCACATCAAGAATAGGTTTAGCCAATCACTAAGAGCACCAAACTATTTTTCAATTCCAGCCCCTCTTCGTTTCCAGATTGTTACCTATTGATGGAGTTGTTCTCAGTTCTATGGCGCCTGTCTTGTTTTCTTGGGTAGAAGGAGCCTCCATTGGGGGCAGATCATATTCCTTGTCCAACGGTCTATTCATTTCTGGGTTGTCGTAGTTAATGTATTGATATAAAGGACGCAAACGCTGGGATTTTTCTAGAAGTAATGAGACAGTGAATGTTGTAGAGCAGATAACCTCTGAAATATAACAATCTGTTAGTGAATACAGCTACGGTACTCCTTAAACGTGACAAATGCAACCCAATTTGGTGTAGTGGTGAAGGCATCTGGTTAGAAAGTGTGAGATTTGTGAGATGATTGATAGATGAGAGAGAGAGATGACAGATTCCCACCTTTTGTTAAGGTGGAAAATGAGGTAGGTATTGTCCCTGAATCTTTATCTGACCTATTTAGGTACATACCTTGCAAACCTGTCCAACTGGTAAAACCATAAACACCTTCAACTGTTTTGCTTACGACTTCATTCATCCATCCATCCATCCATCCATCCATCTATACATCTATACCTCCATACTTCCATACATCCATTTATTCTATATGGTGCTGCATTCCCTTAGTTTATGAGTCATCATAAGGAACAACGACTTTGGAACTGGATTTCCCATTCTCCCATGGTGGAATGTGTTTGAGAAAAATGTTCTTGGTTTTCCAAACAAGCAGTAACACTATTCTTTCTTTTCCATGTCTGCTTAGATCTTTCTTGAAGAATATCACATACACATACTTCATGGGACTGAGTGCAAGATATAAGTAGCATTTGCTACTTACTATTTTCTGTGTCTATATCTGTCTGTCTGTCTGTCTGTCTGTCTATCTTTCTATCTATCTATCTATCTATCTATCTATCTATCTATCTATCTATCTATCTATCTGTTTCTATATTGTGAAAGAGAAAAAGATGTATCTGTACCTGATACAAATACAATTAATTTTGGAGGAGGAGTTCCTTACTAACAAATGAAAAAGGAATTACATTCATAATAACTATTTTAATCAGTAGTTATTTAATATTTATTGATTTAATCTCATTTATGCTTTTTTTCTTCTGTCCTGGTCTTTCTGCTGTGGGACTCCTGACAGAGCAACAATTAAGTCAACAGCTAATAGGGTTCAGTTAAGATAAACGAAACAAACGTTATCTCCTCATCTTCAGACCCTTGAAATGCAGTACTTGCATCAGAAAGTAATACAACAAAATGCTGAATATCCCAGGTATTGCCACTCTCTCAAATCCACCCTCCGATGCTCTCCTGTCCACTCACTCTCGGTAGTTGCAGATTCTGGGGGCAGAGAAGTCCCCGGGGAGGCAGGTGGAACTGGGGTGGTCTCTTGAGTGGACTTCCTTTTCTTAGATTTCTTGGGCTGCTTCAGAAGAAGAGAAGCTTCCATTTTGGCGCTTTCAGCCTCCTCTGCCCTCGGAGACAACTTCTTGAAGTCTGCATGCTGAAAAGTGAGCATGTCAGAATCAGTTCTGTGGGGCAGAAAGAAGACAGGAGAGGAGCAAGGGGGGAGGTCCAGCCCCTCTCCCTTAACCCCCATCCAGCGGTGGGATTCAAAAAATAATAATCTTTTTTTAAAATAAAGTTTTATTTCAGTTTTCCACATTTTTAAAAACATCTCTTTTCAGTGAACAACATGATTCCAGGTTTTCACATTTCATACAAAAATGACCATAATTGCAACATTCATCTTTCATATTCAACTTCATATCTTATCAATACTTCACATATTTCTATTATATTTTTTCCAAATACTTTCCTCCTATTTGAATCACAAATAACTCTCATATCTTCTTAATCATTATACTTTTGTACTTTTATCTGTCAGATTTGCAATTTCATCACATATTCTTATTTCATCATTCCACAAATTCTAGTTTCATTCGAACATTTCAAAAAAAATTTCCCCCCCCACAATTACTAATTTGAGTATGCCATCCCTATAGCTTGCACGTTCTTTAATTATTCCCCCCTTATATCCCAATAAACATTTAACTTTTATTACCTATAGATTTAATAATAAAACTCTCCTAACAACTACATAACATACTGTGTATACCTTTTAGGTTAAAGTTAGAATGATTCCGTATAGCATTTCCCTCTTCCATTTCAGAAAAGATTTTTTTTTATAACTTCGATAAAAAAAATTAAATCTATTCAATTAATCCTAAACACTGATATTAATCTCATTACAACAATCCTCGTAATTCTTTTCAATTGTGTTCTATGTATTCATTAAACATATTTAATAAACTTATCATTATTTCCCTTTTTCCATATTTATTCCATTTAAAAGAAAAAAAACCCAATCATTCCAATAGCAAAAGAAACTCTAGATGGCCCGATCCCTTCTTAGAAACCCACATTGCTAGACCATGATTGTTGGTTTGAAGTGTTGGTCTCTATGCCTTCTTCTTGCATCCATCCTTACGGAGGGCAGAAGAAACAGTCAAGATGAAGTCTTGCTCCAAGAAACAGGACCACCTACAACCAGTCTCGAAAACTCTTAGGACCAGAAGGCCTTAGGGCTTTATAGGAAGTCCTCAACTTACAACACATTTAGTGACCGTCTAAAGTTACACCAGCACTGAAAAGAAGTGACTTGGGATCGTTTTTCACACTTAACGACCACTGCAGCATCCCCATGGCCATGTGGTCAAAATTTGGACGCTTGGCAACTGACTCCTATTTACAACGGTTGCAGGCAATCACCTTTGGCAACCTTTTGACAACCAAAGTCAGTGGGGAAGCCAGATTCACTTAACAACGGTGTTACTTGTTGAACAGCTGTGGTGATTCGCTTAACAACTGCGACAGGAAAGGTCATAAAATGGAGCAAAACTTACTTAAACGTCTCGCTTAGCAACAGAAATTCCGGGCTCACTTGCAGTCATAAGTTAAGGACTGCCTGTATTTTTCCTATCTTAGGTGACATGATGCTTCCTACTCCGTTTTGCATAGAGAGATCTTTGGGGTCTCCAACCTTGGCAACTTTAAGGTTTGTGGACTTCAATTCCCAGAATTCTGGGAGTTGAAGTCCACAAACTTTAAAGTTGCTAAGGTTGGAGACTCCAATATCATTTTTTTCCATACGTGGAGATCTTCCTCCTGAATCAGGCTCAATCTTTAAAAGTAGAGGGTAAATCCTTTCATTCCACGCAAGTTTTCTTCCACCTGTGCGTCCTGAAAACCTGAAACACTAAATCCGCGATACTGAACGTTCCCACTGCGGAATGATCTCCTTTGGAGTTCCAAGGCACAGATTTCCCATAACTTACTTGGTCATCCTTGCCTTGAAGCCGTAATTCGCCAGCCAAGCTTGCAAAACTGGAGCAGATTTCAGGTTCTTGAGCTCAGGAAACAAATCTTGGTGTTGCTGGACTTCTTCCTCGTACAGCTTGGCATGCAGGTTAATGCCCTTGCCATCTTCATTCCACTGGGAAGAACGTGAAATGTGAACCTAATTTTCTCAGGAAGAATATGGAAGTTTATGGGGGTGAAGCAAATTAGTTTTTTAAGGCCCGGGGCATATTAAGAATTATTATTTATATAGTGCAGGCTTACGAAATACAGATAGTCCTTGATTTATCACCATTCATTTAGTGACTGTGCAAAGTTACAACGGCACCCCCAAAAAGTGACTTACGACCGTTTTTCACACGGCTGTTGCAGCTTCCCTGTAATCGGTCATTAAGGGAACTGTTGTAAGTAGAGGATTATCTATACAATGCTACAAGTTGGATCTTCTAACACTATGCCAGATTGCTGGCTTTTTTAATTATTAAAAGTGCTTTTAAAAAAGATACAGTAAGGAATCTGTGAGTATCAAGGAATGTGTACAAGATGTATACTGCCAATAACTGAGCTTGGGACAAAAGACATAATTTGGAGAAAAATAAGGCGTAACCTTCCAAAGTGGTAATCAATATTTCTAGTATTGATTCAGTGGTGGGATTCAAAAATTTTTACTATCAGTTCTGTGGGCGTGGCTTGTTGGCAGAGGTGGTATTCAGCAGGTTCTGACCAGTTCTGGAGAACTGGTAGCGGAAATGTTGAGTAGTTCGGAGAACTGGCCAATACCACCTCTGACTGGCCCCGCCCCATCTAGTCTCCGCCTCCCGAGTCCCAGCTGATTGGCTGGGTCTTCTTTGGTTGCCCTGCACAGGAGAACGGAGCTGGAAAGCAGGTTAGTGGGGTGGGGAGGGAATGGAGATTTTGCAGTATCCTTCCCCTGCCACGCAAGCCATACCCACCAAGCCACGCCTACAGAACAAGCAGTAAAAAAAATTGAATCCCACCACTGCTTGGTGGGCGTGGTATGGCGTGGCTTGGTGGGCGTGGCAGGGGAAGGATACTGCAAAGTCCCCATGCCCTCCCACCTCACTAACCTGCTTTCCAGCTCCATTCTCCTGTGTAGGGCAACCAAAGAAGACCCAGCCAATCAGGTGGGACTCGGGAGGCAGAGAATAGATGGGGGCGGGGCCAGTCAAGAGGTGGGATTTGCCGGTTCTCTGAACTACTCCAAATTTCCACTACTGGTTCTCTAGAACTGGTCAGAACCTGCTGAATACCACCTCTGTATTGATTGACATATCCTTCTCTCCTGCTCATTCCTGCATCAAGTTATTATCCATTCGTTCCAACTTTCCAACATATGGGTGTTGCCAGTGTTTATAAGTCATGCATCCTTCCGTTTTTTCTTTCCTGTATTACTCATCTTTTACCTCCAGTGACTTGATGGTGGGATTTTCTAAGGCTGCAGCCAGCTGGAACAGGAAATGTGGGATGTTGGTCTTCCCTCCCAGTTTTTTCTCATTGGGGCTTCTGGCACAGGTTGCCATCAACTACCAGATAGGAAAAGAAGAAGAAAAAAAACAAAAACAGAAATGGTACTGGCTGTTGTATGTATTTTGCTGGGCAAATAAAATAGCAGATTTACAGTTTATTTACAGTTAGAAATAGTGGTGTTTCCTGCTCTCAGGGCACCACTGTTTGAATTGTGGAGAGAAATTGAGAGTTAGAGGGACTGCATTGATGCAAAAGATAACAAAGTGAAGATTTTTCAGAATTGTACTGGGGAAAAGAAGTTTGCAAAGCAGGGTCATGATCAGCTATAGCACAATAACTGGTTACTAAATTGTTTATGTCTATGGAGATTCTCAATCATCCAAACCATGGTTGTCCCAAAGGTCCTTTTGAAAAGGTCACTGGACTTTCTTGTTGTTGTTTTTTGTCCTTTGAAGACGTTTTGCTTCTCATCCAAGAAGCTTCTTTCATTCTGAACTAAGAACGGAAGAAGCTTCTTGGATGAGAAGCAAAATGTTTTCAAAGAAAAAAAACCCAAGAAAGTCGAATTGTCTTTTGGAAAAAGCAAAAGGTAACAAAGTGAAGATTTTTCAGAATTGTACTGGGAAAAAGAAGTTTGCAAAGCAGGGTTTTTGGATCCCTTCATGATCAGCTCTAGCACAATAAACTGTGGTTGAATAAACTGTGGTTACCAAAAACCCAACTTAGTGCAGCCTTAGAGAAAAATGCCTCAGTTCCCATGGAAGCTCTGGGTAAAACTTCTAGTTATTATAGCAATAACTCTAGCAAGTGATGTCAACTGGATTATAGAACAAAAAGCAGATAATTCTGATGCACCAAGGACAGATAGCTTTTTGGGGTGTCCTTCTCAGTGACTAATAATTGTTCCTTCTGTGACTCCGGCTGCTCCTGCTAACCATTTTAAGAAGCTTCTAAAGTTATATTATTTACCACTGGTTCATGAATGATGGGGATTTCAAAAAATCCTGAAACCCGAATGAGGACTTATTTTTAAAAGGTAAGGAGGTTCTGTTTCCCATTTTCATTGCTGTACGCTTGGAAGCTATGAACATCCAAGCATCACTTTGTTGTTATCATTCAAACTAAAGCACCAACTCAGTGATAATGGCAATTCAAAAATAGATAAATAAATGTTCTCACCACAACTGCCTGTGACAGTTTGTCTAGACTAAAGCGCTGGCGGGTTTCCACTGCTCCAACCAGTAGCGAATGGTTAGTAGGCCTCGGAGATATTAGCTTGCCTTCTTTAGGACCAGGTTGCTAAGCTACCAGGTTCCTAGCATTCTGCTGCCACTCCATCAATGGCTAGGAATCTAGATCCTTTCTTCGGTACAGCTCCAGAAATGCTTGCTACGTTCTCCATCAGTTAGCCTCTTGGAGTGGTGACTAAATTGCTTAATATGTTAGCTACAGAATATGTGGCTGCCCTTCTGTCTTTTGCCAAGCCATTTCAACTGTGCAAGATCAACAGGTGTGGAAGGGCATTGCACATTGGATGAATAACGAATTGATTTTTCATTAGAAGTCACAAATAGGATGCTTTCAGTGGGTCTTTCCCTTATTTATCTAAACCTCTGCCCAATGCTTCTGAAGAAGGCCTTAACACTAGGAAAGGGAGGAGGAAGAGGAGGAAGAGGGTAACCAGCAGCCAGAGGAGTGGATGGACTCAGTTATGGTAGTAATGCTGGAAGATCAGAAAGATCAAATTAGGGACAGATCTTCTTCATGGAGGAAATCGATGTGGTCACCAGCTACAAACTGATGGCACATAATCAATATTCTAGCAAACTAATGAGCACCAAAATGAAGATATAGACTATAGGAAGATGGGTGGGTGGGTGGATGGATGGATAGATAGACAGATGAGGGAGGGAGATGGGGAGTGGGAGAGAAAGGAAAAGAAGGAAGAAAGGAAGGAAAGAAAAAAGGAAAGAAGGAAAGAAAGAGGGAGGGAGGAAGTAGGAAGGAAGGAAGAAAAGAAAGAAAGGGAGGGAGGGAGGGAGAAAGAAAAGAGAGAAAAGAAGGAAAGAAAGAGGGAGGGAGGGAGGGAGGGAGAAAAGAAAGAAAATAAAATAAGGGAGGGA